GGATCATCAAAATAAGTGGTCCTCTTCATTGTCAATCATTCTGGTGTTAAGTTTGACATAGTGTAAAAAATGCAAATCTTCTTTTGGAAAGTAAGCTTGTATGAGCGATGCAAACAGCAGCTTTTGAACAGAGCGTGCATGAGGAGAAAGGGGCTTATACATGCTCTCGCACATATTTAATAGGGGTTTCCTCTTGGGAGCAGGTACAGGTTTCTTTTTTAAAGTGGAGAGGGCGGGTCTTCTCAAAAATTCACAAAAATCTTCCACTATATCTTACAACTATGAAAACACTGAGTATTTTTAAACTTTCACAGTTCCAAGAAGACAATAAAGAAGAAACGAAGTTCATTGTATTGTCTAGTATTTGTTTTTTATTATTTTGTTGTAGTTTAAAATTACAGACATATTTTACAGCGTGGAGAAACTGTATTTACAGTTTACAGTTCTGTTTTTCATTCGTTATATACATCATCATCTTCCGTTGGTACAGAAACACAATTAAAATGTGAACACAAATAATTTACAACATAACTCTGGTGGAAAAATTGCAAATCTTTTTGGGGAGTAAGTTTGTATGATCGACAGAGCGTGCAGGAGAAATGGGCTTATACATGCTCTCGCATGTGTTTAATAGGGGTTTCCCCTTGGGAGCAGGTAGAGGTTTCATTTTTAAAGTGGAGAGGGCGGGTCTTCTCAAAAATTCACAAAAATCTTCCACTATATCTTTAATACATCTGTAAAACCACTGAGTATTTTTAAACTTGTTCAGTTTTTTTTTATATGATAATTTCATGGGAAACAAAAGGACAACTATATTATTTTACCTTTGTTTTTGAGTAAGTAAAGGCCTTAGATAACTTTTTAAATGCAGTTTAACTTGAGGTACTGTATGTTCCAGATCTCATGAGGGGGAGCAGCCTCCAGTAATGTTGCAGTGTATCATAGCAGGATGTGTTTTGCTCATTTTGTTTCCCTAGAGGAAAAGAAAAATACAAGCAAAAATCAATATTCTTTTTAAATTTTGTCAAATCTGTCTGAAGTGTTTTTATTTTCTATATAAAAACCATATCACATCAAAGTGCCCCCTCTACGGTTCCGCATTGCTCCAATGTTTGCTCATTTTCCTGTTTTATGCACTCAATAATATAATAACAATAATATATGCTGCTCGTTCAGCATTTGATGGAAAACAAAAACGGGAAAGAAGGAAGAAAAAAGTCATTGTGAATTTTACTTCAGGAGCCGCAGCTTTGGTGTCACTCTGATCTTTTTTGGGGCATTAGGAAGGAAGGGGCATGGTTGGTAAATAGTTTTTTATGGAGTTCTCAGGACTGATCTCTGACCCACATATCTGCACACCTTTCCTCTAGTGTCCACGCTTTCATTACCCTGCTAGTTCATTTAAAACCAGCACCATTTAAATCAGAACCAGAGTGTTTTCATAAAAGTGCAGCTAGCCTTAAATGCAGTGCACCCCTTCATATTTTTACCTTTTAGAAGGATTACCAATATTAGAGTGAAAAAAATCCAATTGAAGTCAAAATATTCTTATTTAATATTTATTTACTGTGAGCATTTTAGAGAGAAAACACAAAATGTATAAATGTGTTATCTGGCTTTCTGATTTAGCTGCATCTTAAGTTATAGGAATAATCTTTTTATTCTTTGTGTAAATAATCTTAATTTAAGTCAGGAGACAATCTCTAAAAACCTAAATCTGTCTGTTTATATACCTTTACCATTTAACAGATCCTAGAAGTTAGATAAGTTGTTGGACATGCTGCCATCGTGTGGTTAGTGTGTGAACTACAGGATGCTGATCTGTGTTTTATAAACTGAAAATGGGACTAGATTATATTCCTATTGAATATCAGTTGTTATTAGGAAAAATACTTTTTGGCAATAATGCAGTTGAAACTGCTAAACATCTAAATCGGAATGAACTTTGAAAATCAAGTCTTTTATTATAGAGTAAAACAATTAATCTATCTTTTTTTGCGCTTTATGAATTATTTAGAACCACTTAAATCTAACATTGCAGCATTTATTAATAATGTTGATTTTTTTTTTACTCATAAATAGGTATCACAGTTCAAAGCAGACGATCAAGAAGAAATAAAGCCATTGTATTGTTTAATATTTGTTTTTATTTTGTTGTAGTTTAAAATTGAAGACATATTTTACAGCGTGTCCAAACTGTATTTACAGTTTACAGTTCTGTTTTTCATTCGTTATATACATCATCATCTTCCGTTGGTACAGAAACACAATTAAAATGTGAACACAAATAATTAAAAACATAACTCTTAGTGGTTGTTTTATTACACTGTGTGCACAAGTTGTGTTTTCCAGGCTTAAATCCATTATTGAACAACTACAGATTCGCTCCTATTAGCTGGAAAATGTGAGAAGAAAAAACCTTAGGCAAGAACAAGCTTTGGATTTATTATAACAAAATGCAATTATTGGTCAACTATTAATGAGCAGGATTATCATGTAAACAAATGTAAAAAAAAATAAACATATTACCTGCTCATTTTCTATATTTTAAAGTGAGAAAGATATTCAAAACAATGAAGTGCTTTGATGTCTGTAACGAAGCACTTTCTTTCATAAAGACCTTTTTCCTTCATCGCAGCGTGAAGAGATTACTTAAAGAATTGACGCTAGGTTGTGGAGTTGATATAGAGTCAATCCTCAAACTGGAAAAGTTAAGCCAGCTCCTTTTTTTTTACAGGAACTCTCCAGAGAACTTCACCTTCACCTTTTGGACCTTTGAGTCAAGGTGGAGCTCTGTGCAGGTAACTGATGGAGCATCGGGTCCATCACACTCATCTAGTCGAACCTTTCAAAAAAAATCTCGCTTCTGGATTAAAAAGCATAGCTAAAATTAATAGCTATAATTACAAATTTCTTAATAATTGTTCACACAGTTGGTAAATGGTGTTTAATGAAAGACAATACAGGCTAATATACAGTTGGTTTAGCCTTTAAACTTATTTCTTCTGTACATTTTTTAATTTCCATAATGAAAAGTACATAAAATGCACATATTAAATGTTTGACACTTTTACAGAGCCAAAATCTGGATGCAGCCAGATAATAAAGCTTATATGCAGGTCTGTTAGTATCAGATGTTTATTAACTTGCATTAATGAATAGAAAGTGTAAGACATGATATTATATGCAGCTTGTTGGGTTTTTGTATTTCTGTTTTCTTTCTGTCTGCTGCTCTGGAGGACATGCACACTGCAAAAAAATTGAAATCTAGATAAGTAATTTTTTTCTTAAAATAAGGGCATCTGTTCTTGAATTGAGGAGGTGAAAGAGACATTTTGCCAACGGAACAAGACAATTTACACTTAAAATATGAAAACACAATTGCATTGATTTATTTCAAGTGCATATTATCTAATTATCTTATTTTAAGAGTAAAATTACTCATTCCATTGGCAAACAACCTAATTTACCTACTCAAATTAAGGGTGAATACACAAATTTTTACTTATTTCTAGATCGTTTTTGCAGTGCAGAAAAAGGGATAACTTTTTGAAAGCCACTGAGACATTTAGAAGCCAGCTAGATATAAACTGGTTTTGCACTTTGCTAAAAACACCAACAAGTTATTTTCTGATAAAATATTCTGCAGCTACTGAATCCGGTGTTAACCTTTGATTAAATGTACGATTTTTCTTTGATAACTGTGGTTAACCTTTGCTCTCTGTATGTTCCTGCATGTGCTGCCATGGTTACACTCATTACTTCTTCCAGGTTCTAATACTTTTTAGTGATGTCATTGCAAATACTTTGTATAATAAAATTAGCCAAGAAATTTGAATATGGTTACTACAAGAATTAAAGGCACTTTAAAAAAAAAAAAAAATCAGTGTAGAAAATGAGAAAGATTTGTTTATGATACCAAACAGCTATTTTTGCCACACCAAGACATTTGATAATATATCTTTCTAAAAAAAATCCTAACATTTAGAAATGTGGATTATATATTCAAGCGATCTTCTAGTTTCTGGTTTTAAAATCTACATTTTAAATGTAAATTATTTAGTTGTAATTTTTTTAATGAGCATCTGTATTGATTTTGTACTACCATACCAAAGTTTAATGGCATTGACACAGCTACCGTCGATTTATTTCAACTTGCCAATAGAACGTCTCTAAGAATGTTTTTTTTTCTCGGTTCAAATAAGAAAAAATAAGCTGTATTTGTAAAAGATAAAATTTTTAACATTTATTTTCTTGCATATATATATATTGGGATGAGGGGTGTAAAATGTGTTGTGTACCGCTTTGCAAGGAAAGAGTCATTGACTTTAGGTTGATGTAGCTATTTTGAATTGGCTTTTTTTTTGCTTTCTTTTGCTCTTTTCCCATTTAATGATCACTTGGTCATCCGGAGTCAAAGATGAGTGATCTTTATGGACTCTGAATGCCGACCACTGATCAGATAGAAGTTGACTAAGTAAATTTTCCCCATGATATGCCAGATAATTTCCACTTTAGATCAGATTAGATGAGCTTTATTGATCTCACAGCGGAGAAATTCACTGGTCACATATTGGCATAGTAATTAAACGAGGTGCAAACAAGGAGGAAAAGGTGCATTAAGAATAAACACTGCAAAAACAATCTAGAAATAACTTAAAATTTCTTAAAATAAGTATATTCACCCTTAATTTGAGTAGGTAAATGAGATAGTTTGCCAATGGAATGAGTAGTTTTATTCTTAAAATAAGATAATTAGATAATATGCACTTGAAATAAGACAATGCAAATGTGTTTTCTTATTTTAAGTGTAAATTGTCTTGTTCCATTGGCAAAGTGTCTCTTTTACCAAATGCACCTATTTGAAGAAAAAATGACTTATCTAGATTTAGATTTTTTGCAGTGAACAAGCAAGCACTGCATATACAGTATATCAAGATATGAATAAGAATAAGAATTAAGGTGTAAGTGTACATGTATCACACACAATAAAAAAAAAATATGGGAGTAACACAGAGATTAAGCATTAAATCTAAGCATTAAGATTTAAGCATTAAGCATGCAGAGGTGAGTCAATGTTAATGTAATGTAGACAAAGTGAAGGGCAAAGTAATATTGTTGGGTCATGCTTTGACCTTAAACACTATAAAAGGGGCATATATCAGTAATGTGTTACATAAGTCAGGGCAGAGTTTTTCAATCATCTCCATTATTTTTGGCTCTTTTAGCCCTAAATTGTTGTCTAATCATGAACAATGGAAGCAAAAGAACAATAAAATCTGTGCTATGGCAAAATCTACATAGACCTTAGTGACACTAAATATTAGTTGTCCTTTATTCCAATTTAAATGTAACATAAATAACAGGTTAATCAGAAAATAATGTTAATAATGTTTCATGAAATGCATTCCAAAAAAGTAAAAAAAGAAGAAAAAAAAACAATCCACTGGACTTTGTTTCGAAGTTTGAAGATGTTTTGTCTCCCATCCAGGAAACTTTTTCCAATTCAAAATGTCAGAAATAGCGTTGAGTTAAAGGCTTTATAGAATGGACCAAAAATAAAGTCAGATGCATTTCGTTTCTTCAAGTCATAACTGGATTAAACTGTTTTCAGATACACAGAAAACCCCTAGGAAAATCAAGACACTGTGTCGGCAGCCCTGGTGTGAAACTCTCAATGCATTGTGTCTTTTCACCCGTCTAAAGTTTCTTCTTCTTTAAGCAACTATGCTGTATATGCAGGAAGCAGTCCAGAAGAATGATTTGCCATCAGGCAATCTGTAGTTTCTCAGTCAATACGTTTTTTGCAAAATATAAGAGATGTTTTTCTACAATTTAATATCTATGCATAGCATTTTCATTTCTTATATATTTTATGAAATAATACTTGGCTCCACTTAAAACATTATGAGACAGAATGACAATCTGAGAATCTTAAAAAGCTTTTTGCCGCTCCTTATAAAGCCGATTTTAGTCATATGCCTTTAATCTACTTAATTAGGCTTAAAACGTAATGTTGATGAGAACATTTAGGTCAATTTGCATTGAGGGCTCATCTACAGGAGTCATTTCCCTATTCGTGAATGCCTCCTTTAATCTGATGTACTTAAACCACTTACTCTGTGATTCTTATTTGTTATTCACCTACCCTGAGACTAGGGGCGAAACTCAGGCCACCTGCCAAACTGACCACAGAGTGCCCAGTGTGATGCTGTAGGCAACCACAGCCACTAGGTAGACTCTGAAGAGCAGCACGTCCAGCACGTAGCCAACCTGGAGCCACTCTTTCGCGATTTCCCGACACCTGTCCCTCTTTTCCAGGAACTGCCGGATCGCCGTTACCTCCTGCAGAATATTGTCCATGACAGGCGGGGTGTTGTCCCTGGAAGGGGGCAGACGAAGTCCTAGCATCCCCACCTCTCTGTCCGGTTGGCTGAGCCTCTGGCCTATTTCACAGGTGTGGTGGAGGGAGCACTGGGCTGCAGAATGGGACAATAGGCTTACTTTGTAAACATCATATCTGTATGTTGGTGAAGATTCTTAATCATCAAGGTCATAGTCATTCAAAAAAAGTTAAAAACCAATCTACTGGACTTTGTGTCCAAGTTTGAAGACATTTGGCCTCCCATCCAGGAAGCTTTTTCAATTTCCAAAGGGGTGGACCCCTTCGTCCGTTTCTATTTGCATGTTTCAAAACAAAAACAAGGTTTTGTTGGGCTACTGTATAAAACCTCAAACTCAACACTATTCTGGACATTTTGAATTGAAAAAGCTTCCTGGATGGGAATCCAAACGTCTTCAAACTTGGAAACAAAGTCCAGTGGATTGTTTTGTTTTTTTACTTTTTGGAAGTCATATCTTTACTTAAATCTAGTGTTGCACCGATACTGATACCAGTATTGGGTGGGGCCCCGATCCAGCACTAAAATGGTATCGGTATCAGCAAGTACCAACAAATAGGGCACCGATACCATTTTGAGAGACAAAAGTTTCTTCAACTATTGTCACCCATTCCAGGTAGGCAATAAAAAGTTCTACTGGATTCACTATGCATTAGTCTTTTTCCTGCTTTACAAAGGTAGGCAGCAGCTTGAAAAAGCCACGATGGCAATTATTTTACATCCAAGTAGTGTGCAGTTCTTCATATATACACACACATCAATTTCAAACAGATGGTATCGGTATCGGCCGATACCGCACTAGCCTCGTGAGACCTTCCTGATCTCGCGAGCTTTCAAGATTTCACTCGCTAATCAGTCTGGAGACTCTCCGTTAAAGAAAATTTGGAGCCGTTCACCAAACGAACGTCCAATCAGTTGGCTTTGAGGCGGGTTGAGGTGTGACGCAACGAGAAGCTCAACAGTTCAGTCTAAAGAACATGGCGGCTTCAGCCGATGAAACTAGCGTTAGCGTGGCTATCGAGCAAGTTTTATCGGAATTACAGAGTATTTCTTCACTGAAAGAAGAGCAAAACACTGCTCTGGAGGCTTTTCTCAGAGGAAAATATATTTTTGCTCTTCTCCCGACTGGTTTCGGCAAGAGTAGCCTGGCATGTGGTTGTGTTTTCGTCGTCGCTCTGTTAGTACGTCATATGCTTCGTTGATCTGATTGGTTTATTTGGCCCGTCTATCACCAACATAGACCAATCAGCTAACCAGTATTTTCACCCCTTCCCAAAATTACTTCAACGGAAGGTTTCCAGATGGATATGCGGAGCAAATCCATCTGGTGGAGTCAGGTTAATACCGCACAGCCAGGTATCGTGTATCGGGGCCAAAAAATGGAATCAGCACAACACTACTTTAATCTATTTAAAATCTACAAAGAAAGCAGTTGGTTCTGAGCAAAATATAGAAGCAAACATTTCTAAATAGCAAAACGTTACCCCTTATTATGCTCAATTTAATATTACTAAGACACTGATGCTGAAAACAATCTATATCTTACTGGTCCCATAGTTGTTTTCCTTGTAGCGGTCTAGCTCTGACGTCTGGGAAGACAGTCTGGCACAGAAACGGTTTTTCTTGTGAATACAGAAAAGGACCGGAGCTCTTTCCAGGACCAGGTACTTCACCCAATGAGGCACGGGTGGCTGCAGGTCCTGCTTGTGGACCAGACGAACAATCAACACGGTTTCCGTAAGGCTGATCACCAGGAGAGCCATGCAGACCACAAAGTACACACCTGCGGGAGCAGGTAAGATCACATAATGTTTACTATTTTTTTTAGATTTCTACAACGCAAATTAGCTTGTAGCGATACGATAGAATGCCGTGTTAATTATGATACATGACATACAAACATGTTGGTCTTAATAAAAGATAACAAATAATCTAAATCTGGCAGCATTTTTAGAAAATTCCAGTTTAACAAGATACATGTAATGGACTAGAATAGAATAGAATAGAATAGAATACCACAATGGGGATATTGTGGTGTTTACAGTAGCAAAAAGATTATAGAAAAAAATATTCACACATATATGAACCTTAGAAAAATGTATAAGAATAACAATTAAACAATAAAATGTGACATACACTGCAAAAATGATCTAGAATTAAGTAAAAATTTCTTAAATTTTGTGTATTTACCCTTAATTTAAGTGGGTAAATACGATGATTTGCCAATGAAATTAGTATCATTACTCTTAAAATAAGATAATTAGATAATATGAACTTGAAATAAGACAATGCAATTGTTTTTTCCTATTTAAAATGTAAATTGTCTTGTTCCATTGGCAAAGTGTCTCACTTTCGTACTGAATTGGGAAAAAAATGCACTTATTTTAAGTAAAAATTGCTTAATTAGATTTCCATTTTTTGCAGTGTACCAGTTGATAGGGTACAATACCATACAAAATGATGTTTAATGGGAAGTGAATATACTATGAGATAAAATGAGAGTTTATGACATAATGAAGTATGAAATAAAACAATTTGATATGGTTCTGAACCACTGCGGTCGCGGTCCAATGGCCTCTCAGTACACAGAAAAAGCTAAATGTCCTGGTATTTTAAACGATTAAACTGAAGAAAGTATGAAGAAAAGTGTTAAAAATTATTTTTTCTTTATTTCTCATTCATCTCTTTTAATTGTGTGATAATGATAAAAGAATTTATTAGTTATGTTTATTATATCTAAATGTTCACCGAGTGTTAGTCAGTTGGCATTTCATCACTCTTTTAAATACTGAAATCACTGCAAAAAATTTTAATCTCAATAAGTGCTATTTTTCTTAAAATAAGTGTATTTTTTCTTGAACTACGGGGGGTAAGTGAGAAACTTTGCCATTGGAAGAAGAAAATTTACTTTTAAAATAAGAAAAAATAATTATGTTGTCTTATTTCAAGTGCATGTTATCTAATTATCTTATTTTAAGAGTAAAAATACTCATTCCATTGGCAAATCATTTTATTTATCTACTTAAATTAAGAGTAGATACACTTGATTTAAGACATTTTTACTAATTTTTAGATCGTTTTTGCAGTGCTGTAAAGTGCCTTGAGATGACATGTGTTGTGAATTGGCGCTATATATATAAACTGAATTGAATTAAATTTAAAAGAATGGGTTAAAAGTACCGGACAAATTTCCCCTCTTTAGGATAATTAAGGTATATTTTATATCTATATAGCGATGGATAAACTTTGTAGATATATACAGTTAGATATACGTACCATAAAGTTGATATGATACAACGCTGCACAATACAAGATATGTTTTCTGGTTTCATATAATACAAAATAAACCTAGTTAACATTAACTGGTATGAATTAATACAGTTGTAGGTAATTTAGTGCTTCCTGCTTTTACTGTATTGCAGAGATGGGAAGTAACGAAGTACAAATACTTCGTTACTGTACTCAAGTAGATTTTTCTGATATTTTTACTTCACTTTACTACTTATTTTTATGGCGACTTTTTACTTCTACTCCTTACATTTTTACACAAATATCTGTACTTTCTACTCCTTACATTTAAAAAAATTGGCTCGTTGCTTTAGTTTTGAATCATTTCAATGGAGTTACCGTTATTATTTTTCACGTCATCAATACCAAATTCAATCTAATTGGATGGGAATCTACGTTGCATTTGATGCACCGCTACAAGATGAATCGACAGATTCGGCGGTATTCATTGGCGGCAAATCATTGCAGCTTGGCGGCGGTGGCGTTAGCATAGTAGCATGGACGACGAGATGATTGAAAATGAACACAATGGAGATCTAGTTCTATTGGCAGACATCCATTTAAAATGTAGGCAACGGCATGAAAAAAGTGGTTTCTACTTTTACTTTTATACTTTAAGTAAATTTACAAGCCTGTACTTTGTTACTTTTACTTGAGTAAAGAAGTTTAATCAGTACTTCCACTTTTACCAGAGTATTTTTTAAAACAAGTATCTGTACTTTTACTCAAGTACGGAAAGTGAGTACTTTTGCCATCTCTGCTGTATTGTGATAAATGAGTAGATTTAATACACAACTGGGTAAAATCATGAACACTGTTTTTGTGATCTGGTATAAGGAGCAGGCATCCCCAAAGTTGGTCCTCGAGGGCCGCCGTCCTGCAGGTTTAGAGGTTTCTCTGCTTCAACACAGCTGATTCTGATGATTGCAAAAGCCTGTAAATCAGCCATCCATTAAAATCAGCTGTGCTGGAGCAGGAAAACCTCTAAAACCTGCAGGACAGCGGCCCTCCAGGACAGACTTTGGGGATGCCTGCTTTGGAGTAATGATATACGATGCAAATTTTAATTTAGAAATTAGATCATGTTTTTTTTTTTATATGTGATGGATCTATTCTATATATAATTTGAATATGACATGATACAAACATAACTTTGATAACTGTCTTCATGGGTAAATATCATCAGACAGTATAATACAGTAATGTTCGCAGGTCTAATTTTTGAATCCTTCAAACCTTAAAATGAAGGTTATAATGAAGTTATCTTTAGGGATAACTGTACATAACATAAATTTTCCCTCATCTACATCTATCTAAATGCAAATAGACGGTGTTATAAATCCCAATCACCTATCAGCGGCGTTCCAATGGCAGTGGCAGGTAGAGTGTCGGATACAATGATGAGGAAGACGGAGTAGCCGAGCAGCAAAGTGATCTTAAAAGAGACTCTCTCTCCGCTGTCCGGAGGCAGATAGAAACCGACGATGTCCATTACCATTAGGAAAATGCTGGGCAGCAGCAGATTCACGGTGTAAAACAGAGGCCGCCGTCGGATCACCACCTGGAAAAGGAAGTTTTATTTCAAGCTTGTTTTTAAGAAAATCAGACAGAAAACTGTTTCTATAATTAATCTGTTAATAATTTACAATTGGAACTTTTTATTTATTTATTTATTTTTATTTAACCTTTATTTTATCAGGAAGTCCCTTGAGATACAAAATCTCTTTTTCGAGGGAGACCTGGCCAAGAGGCAGGACCAGAGAAAGAATCCTTCATTCAGATATATTCCTTTTGCTGTTCTGCAACTTCAGCACCATCCCTGCTCTAACTTCACCGCATCAGATAACTGATCACTTACTCAGCGTGTTATCATGGTCTGCAAATCCCTGGCAGTAAGCCCTTTATTTGGTATAGATATGCTGAAGGTAGGATGCATCTAAAAGTTGCCAGATCTGAGCAATATCTGATCATCTAAGCAGCTCACATGTCCAATTTGTCAATAAATTAAAGGTGTAGTGGAGGATGTTCTTTTTCCAGGTGGAACATCTAAATAGGTGGTCCTCCTAATTGTCAGTCATTCTGGTGATATGTTTTTACATAAGGCCGTCCTACGTGTTCGTCCCCATTTTTACTTACCGGTGGTGAGTCTGACATAGTGGAAAAATTGCAACTCTTCTTTTGGAAAGTAAGCTTGTATGAGCGATGCAAACAGCAACTAAACAGAGCTCCTGAGAGGGAATGCCTATTTTTATTTATTTTTTTTTTTTACATTGGGCCCTTGATTTTACGTTATTACATCATGTTCTACTCACCTATATGAGTTTTGTGTCATTTTGAGCCGTTCTGAAGATATTCGGTTTTGTTATATCCAAGTAACGTCTTCCTATGAGTTGAAGGCACAAACTAAACTGTTCATAATTTATTCATTATGGTACGCCAGCATTCATAACATGTAGGCGAATCATATCATAAAGCTGTATTTATAAAACTGGAGCTCCTTTGAGTTATTACCTTACAATCACTTTTAAACTTGATTAATTGGGAACAAAATACAGAAAAATGTAGTCAGACTGACTTAACTGACTTAATTACTTTTACTTTGTCTTCATCAAGACATCTGAGCTGCTTTGATGAAAAACAGCTGATCCCAGACTGCTCTTTATTTCCAGGATGTTCCTTTTTTCTTGTTTTGGTGAACTCAAACATATAAGAAAAACTGGCTGATAAAAGCTGATTTAGTTTTTCGATCGGATCCTCACAAAGCAAAACTACGGGAGAGGATTAGGGCCACTGGGAAAAAAAAATAGTTAGCTGATTTTTAAATTTTATTTCAGTTTACTATGGGGAAAAAGTCAGAATTCTGACTTTTTTCTCAGAATTCTTAGTTTAATCTCAGAATTCTGACTTTAATCTCTAAATTCTGACTTTTTTATTGTCAGAATTCAGTCAGAATTCTGAGATAAAAGTCAGAATTCTGAGAAAAAATTTAGAATTCTGAGAAAAAAGTCAGAATTGTGAGATTAAAGTCAGAATTCTGACTTTTTTCTCAGAATTCTTAGTTTAATCTCAGAATTCTGACTTTTTTTATTGTCAGAATTACAGTATGAGAAAAAAGTCAAAATTCTGAGATTAAAGTCAAAATTCTGACTTTTTTTCCCCATACTAAACTGAAATAAAATTTAAAAATCAGCTAACATTTTTTTTTTCCAGTGGCCCTAATCCTCTTCCGTACAAAACAGACCCCAGCCCTATTTTATTTTACTAAGTAATAAAATATTTTCAAGTAACCGTTGCAATGCACTCACTGACCACTAGGGGTATGCGTACCCCAGGTTGAAATCATTCAGATAGGGCATAAAATCAAGGGACCCATAAGGCTTAAATGGTCATATCATGGTCTTTTCAAACACATAACCCCCTGGTTTAGCATTGGTGTGTTTGTGTTAAGTAACTAATATAATATTGTTTAATAAGCCAAGTGAAGCTTTAAAAGCAAGCAGACATCAATCCTAATGTACATAAAATAACCTGTTTAAATGATCTGGAGTTTTACCAGAATAAACTATCATGTAAATTTTAGAGTGTTGTTTCATGAGTTTGAGTCTGTATGTTTTTCTCCTCCTTCACTCACGTGGAACTTCATCTCTGCATAATAGTCGTCATTGTCCACGCTGAAGATTTTGTAGTTGGACAGGATGTGCAGCAGCTCCCACTCTCCTTGGTTCATGAAGACGCTCTTGTCGTCCCTGAGCTTCTCTGGGCTTCTCATCAGGGTGATGTTGATGTCATTGACTACAGATCAAACACAACAGCGTGAAGCAGGCCTGACAACAAGTCGGCCTTCATTCACCTCTGAGCTTAAATCACAGCAGGAGTGAAAGGATGGAGGGAACAGACAAAGCAACACTTCTGCTTAGAACTTGGGAGAAATGGGAGATTTTTTTAGAGGGGAAAGTTGTGATTATTGTCTTTTTTTAAATTCTAAATATATTTTTAATTAAAAAAGCTAATTGCATTTCAATGAAAAGAAAAAGAGAAAAATATGTTTCCTTTAGTAACTTATGTCAATTAAGTGACAAACTATATAGATTAATGATAGACTGAAGTCTGTAGTCCTGCTAAGTATGACAATTCCCTACTTACAGGTAATAAAAACATTTAGAATTGGTAAATAACAAATAATAAATAAAACTTAGGAACTATACCTGCTTAAGAGTTATTTCTAAATAACTTTAATCTCACAAACAAACCTTATTAGAAAATAAATATTACTTTTAATGCAAAGAGAACATATATATATCTATATACATACATATATATATAGATAGATAGATATAGAGATATATATATATATCTATATATATATATATTAATTACGGGGATTTTTTCAGCAGAATTTTATACTGGTTTCATCCACATCACTCTGCACTGATGCAGTGTTTAATGCAACTACTGTAGCCTCAACCAGGTGCAATGCATAGATATACAGTTCATCAATAACATTTATTTATTCATTAATTTTAAATCATATTTTCAGATAGAATTTTTAGCTTTAATTTTTACACGACCTGTGAGCCAGAATCTTCAAAAAATGCCAATAATCACCCACCTTCATTGTCAATTCCTGTCCCTTTTCTAGCAAATTACTTCATTAACATTTTTTAAGGATATTAAGTTTATTGAGTTGCTTCTGTATATATAGTGATGGGAAAAAAAAAAAATACATGCTCCCTTTTTAAATTTGGTCATGCTTACATTTATCAGATAGTCAAGCTAAGTTTAATATCAGACAAAAATAACTTGAATCAAAACAAGAGGCCGTCTCTCAATAACCTGACTCCGCCAGATGGATTTTCTCCGCATATCCTTTTGGAAACCTTCCGTAAAAGTAATTTTGGGAAGGGGCGAAAATAACTAGTTTCACTGGCTGAAGCCGCCATGTTCTTTAGACTGAACTGTCGCGCTTTTCGTTGCGTCACACCTCAACCCGCCTCAAAGCCAACAATGATTGGACGTTCGTTTGGTGAACGGCTCCAAATTTTCTTTAACGGAGAGTCTCCAGACTGATTAGCGAGTGAATCTTGAAAGCTCGCGAGATCAGGATGGTCTCACGAGGCTATTCTTTCAAATAATGATTACATTTTTTATTGGAAAAAAAGCTGTCCAAACTAACCCGACCTTGTCTGAGTTACTTCTCTCTTTGTTCTATTATAACTTACGTGGAATTTAGAGAAACTTTTCCCGAAACTAATCTTCCATTTGATACACCCTGTATGTAACACCTGTATGGCGACATGAAGTAAGCAAAAGGATAAAGAACAGATGGGGAAAAAAGTGATGTATTTTAGAATGGGAAAATTTTGTGAGATTATTCAATTCAGTTTATTTCTATAGCGCCAATTCACAACACGTGTCATCTCAAGGCACTTTCCAGTCCACCAGATCATCCAGTCAAGTTTTCTGTCTAAGAAAAACCGGTTGATTGCATCGACTCATTGATTCTTTAGCAATCCCTCACTCTAAGCATGCCTGTAGCAACAGTGGAGAGGAAAAACTCCCTTTTAACAGGAAGAAACCTCCAGCAGGATCTGGCCATTATTCATTTGCCAATGGAGAGTACATGGGGAACATTCTAAGGCTTGGATGATCTTCCGAAATTATTTCAAGAGAACATCAATAAAATTGCTAGAAGGTCACAAAAGAACCAAAAAAATCATGTAAAGCAGATTAAAATAAAAAGTATTTGAGTTGAAGTTATTGGTGCCGAATTGGAAAAACCAGTAATTAAGTCTGAGGTGCAATTGTATTTCCCCATAGGAAATAGTTTTAATAAATTAAACTATAATTTTAAAATAAAAAGGTGGGTTCTTTTGATGTTAACAGTTATTTAAAATTTTTAAACTTAAAAAAGCAACAAAACTAGAAGGACTTTGCAAAGAGTCAAATCTGTATGTGTAGTTTTTACTCGTCCCATGTAGGTGAGTGCGTACTTACTGGTATGGAGCCAGCTCTGGAAGGTAAGGCTGCACTTCTGGACATCAAACGGGAAGTTGTAGATGTTGAGTGTGCAGGCAGTGACCACCTGGATGGGCTTGTAATTTTGCACCAGCCCCTCATGTGTAACATAGACATAAGGAATATCTGGAGACTTTCCCACATCGACGCTTCCGGTAGGAGAAAACAAACAGCAACCATGTCAGTATGATCCGTTTGATACACTGGAAGGTTAAAATTAAAGGCTAAAATAGAGAAATCAGAGCAGGAGGATCCCTTACAACTCATTGATGAGAATGTCAGGAACCCAGACGTTTGCTGTGGGCAGGGAAACTTGTTTGACTTCATCAAAATCCTCTGGGTTCCACACCAGGAATTCATCCGTCCATGACTAAAATATTTAACACTAAGTTTAGAGGATGATCATTTCATTTATAGAACACTTTTTAAGCATTTATAATGCATTACATTAAAAAAACTGATAATTATTACACAGACAGATTAATATAATCTGATAGATATGAACATTGTAACATGAAAGTGTAAAGTTTTTCAGCTTGAGTAAAAAAATGAAACAATCTATATTTATTTTCATTTCTCATCAAATTAAAACTGTAAAAAAAACTAATTCAGGATCTTATTTTTAATTAAAGGTCCATTTAAATAGAATAAAACATCTCTAACTAATAGAATAAGAGAAAAATGTCACAAAATTTCAGAAATTCATGTAGGCTTAAATATTTATTCTTTTTTTAATTCTGGAAGTGATTTTGAAGGATAAGACCCGTATTAAATGAATGCAAACCAATTTACTTGCTAATTAATGATCTTTCCTCAAACACCTGAGCCTTTGAAATCAGAAAAAAAAATGCTGGACATTTACAAAAATAAAGGAAACAAAAGATATAGATCTTTACCTTTAGTTAACCTTTAACATACTTTTTTACTATTAAACTGGTCGTTTCGTTGTTACAAATAAAATCTGGAATGTTTAAACATGTAAAAACCTGAGATATTCAAAATGAGACTAAATAGAAAGATGTATGTGATTTGAACTCATTTTTTTTACTTTTAATTAAGCTGAATATTAAGAAATTATCGGTAAGTTGTACTACAAGTAACCTTGGAATAGCGCATACCAACTGTTATATCTAAACAGCCTGCACCTGACTGCTATTTATAAAGACAGAGGAAGTGTAAAACACTTAAAAGCAGGAATTTTTTAATTTATGAAAACATTTTAATGTGCTCAATGAAGGGCCTATTTGAGGATACCTAATAAAAGGTTGTTTTACATAACTTAATGAGAGGACATGCGTCTCTCTTACCTGTCTGTACCACACATATGTTGTCAAAACCTGGTTCTTCTCATCCTTTATTAAAATAAGGAAATACATGAGAGGTTATTAAATAGATCTAAAGACAAGAACATCTAATGACTATTCTGTTATTAGATTAGATTAGCTTTATTGATCTCACAGCGGAGAAATTCACTCGTCACATATTGGCACAGAGGTTACAGACGGTGCAAACAGGGAGGAAAAAAGTGCATTAAGAATAAGCAATATATATATACAGTATATCCAGGTATATACAGTATATCAAGATAAATAGGATTAAGGTGCAAGTGTACATGTATCGCACACAATGAAGAATAAAATAAAAACTAAGAAATAAAAATATGTACAATCCGGACGGCTTATATACAGGTGGAGAAATATTGCACATTCAGCATATTGCACAGGATATTGCACAGGATATTGCGAAGGATATTGCACAGTCAATAAATAGAAAACTATAATAAAGCTGCACAGTGTTTTTTTACAGGAGTTATTGTGGTTATAGTGCATTATTTTACAGGTAGAATCTGGTGGCAGCAGGAATGAATGACCTGCGGTTGCGCTCCTTCTAACAGACTGGGTGTCTAAGTCTTTGACTAGACTAGATGGGTTATTAAGGGGACGGTAAGACATTTATTACACTGTTTGAGTTGAAAGGTCATGATGCAAACTGTGGGAGCAGAGAAATCATTAGTACAACTGATCTGAAAAATGAGCTGAACTCACCACATTGAGGATGGAGTACACCATGAGGTCTATGGCCACCAGAGTGGACGTCCTCCAGTCCTTCACAGGTCTCACCCCTTTCTTGTATCCAGTGCTTAAGAACTCGGCCAGCCGCACCAAGGTGGCATTTGCAAACCGCCCAGGGTGGCTGCTCGGCTTCTTTACTGAAAATAACCAACCAATGCCCAAACATATTCCTTTTCAAAAAAATGTACAAAGAAATTATTTTCAAAAGGTATAGAGAAGCATTGTAGAAAGTTTTGTTTGTGTTTTTTGTTTTGTTAATTTGTATATATGTATGAAGGTATATGTGTATACATATTTATGTATGTATATGTGTAGGTAGGTATGTATTTATATGGATATATATAGCAACATAATTATAAATATTGTAAATTAAAGAAATACAAGAATTAAAGGGGTAGGAGTACATAAATTTTACTTCTTCCTACTCCTTTTCGCACATGTAATAGAGGTATATTAATTTAGGAAAGAAGGGTACCTTGTTTGTTGTTTTTCTCTCCAATGTTTTTAAACATTGTTTTATTGTTTTTTTTTGTTTTTCTCTTGCATGTTCGAAATAAAGAATAAAAACAAACAAAAATAATAATAATAATAATTCATGTTCTAATGAAAAGGATCGTTCATACTTAAAAATATTTTTTCAACAAGTTATGTTCAACAGTTGATAGCTACAGCGGAATTTTCTGAACACTTTTATCATGATCTGTTGTCCAGCATCAAAGTTTTGACATACACTCAGAAGCAACATGATGAGTAGAATTTAATGACGGATAATGTGCACTAAACATAGAAACATGGAGCAGAACTGAGGACTTGATGAATACAGGCAGCAAACTGAGAGCTTAAATAGGAAACAGGTGTGAACAATAGAAAAATTAGGAAACACGGCTGCATGAAATCTAATTTTCAGATGATCCTGGCTGCAGAAGAAATTGTTAAACAAGAAAAACTAAGAAAACCTATCGAAGAATACAGGAATAATGACAAAGACAGTTAAAACACTAAGAAATACACGAGAGAAATGAAGTAGAAAACAGCAGGTAAAATAGTAGGATAACAGAACCTGTATGGCAAACCCTAAACAGCAAAAATAATTTAATTCAAAAATACTTTTAATTGGATTTAAAAGAAATAATTCAAGTTGGAAATTAAATAACAAAGTATAGAAAACCAAATTCACCTTAAACCATTAAAAAAAAAAAAATAACTTTAGAACCTGACAAAATAATCTCCATATAAATAAAATTAAGGCTAAGAAAGCAAGACCTGAGCTAAAATCTGTTTACTATACATGGATACCAGCTGGTTTAGTCCCAACATTATAACATTTTAACCCTTCTTCTGGCACTAGTGACTTTTATTTTGAATTAAATCTGTTGGGGACTAAAAAAGATTTTGTTTTGTTTCATTTCCTGTTCAGTTTTGCTTTTATGAAAAATGAAACAAATAAAAAACTCAATGACTTCTATGCCTGATCAATTCATTTTATCATATTTAGGAAGTTTATTTATAGTCCCAGTTCATAACAAATACCATCTAAAAACACATTCAAAGGGATCAATGGTATGAATCAATTAAATCAGTTTTTTTTTTTTTTTTTTTTTATTAAAATAAATAAACGTACATCACAGCAAATCAAGGTACTGACCTGTTTACAATACTGCACTACTCAAGATTGCTGCAGACAAGCCAAAGCAACACTGATTGTAAAAGTGTTTGATTTCTGTTAGTAGGAAATTGACCCAAAATAACAGGAAAGAAAACTTAGAGAAACAAATCAATAACCCGATAAAAATCCAACTAATATTTCTTTAAAGAGCAGTTTGTGGTGATGGTTTGGTGACATGAGCACTCATCTCACTAGTTTCTCCATAAAGGAAATAAATGGTCAAAATGCTCTTATTACCAACAGAAGCCATTAAATACTGTTTACATTTCAGAAGGCATTTTCAATAATTACTATTTACAGCCTTTTTTCATATCAACCAACCAAATAGGAATATATGTACAGAGAATTTCCATACAGATGGGTTAAGTAGGAAACAATTTGAAACTATTTGTTATAGTAGTTTGCTGCATATTTCTTAAAATTGAGGCGAATAAAGCTTTTATTTTAACACTGTGGATTATGGCTTTATGAAATAAAATTGCTAGGATGATGTGAAACGGAATCAAATCTTCTTTTTAAGGCACTTAAATACAGATTATTAAGGTGTTCCATTTAAGGCCTGCAAAATGCAAAAATTACTCAGCTAGAACCTGACCGAAGACATGAAGTTTACTAAAATTTCTCCCCAAAAAAGCAACAACCGGGAAAGACATTAGATGCCCACCCACTTAAAAAACTATTTTCTGATTTGAAATTAAATTGCAAACAATGGTAAAATACTTTAAATATCTTTTTTTATACATTCAGAAAAGGAAATAATAACTAATCTTGTCTGTTGAGTTCAGTTTAAGCGACCTAAACTAATAGAATTATTTTTGTATTTAAAAATAAAGAAAACATTGCAATATTTTTTTTATGTTTTGTCCCCTTAACTTTAATTTTTATATTTTTAGCAGTAGACAAAATATAAATCACAACAAATAGTTAAGTCTTAGGTTGATGTTAATATTAGGTAAAGCAAAGTGTAAGTTTACCTGTGCAGAATATTGCAGCTCCATGAATCAGCAGGTAAAGAAGTATCGTCCAACCAGAGGAGAGTCTCATGGTCTAAGCTGACCTGTGTCCTTGTTGGCTGCTGTGATGGTCCTCCGGTGGTTGTGATGGAAGACCTTGGGATGCCCGACTACCTTATCCTCCATATCCATCAGCTCCATGTATCACTTCACCCACTTCCACTATGAAAACCTTGTTAGTGTCCCTGTGTTGAAGTGGGCGTATCCAAGTGCTCAGAAGCCACTCCTCTCAGCTCAATAAAGCAGCAGCTCACATTAGTGGAGAGAAAGTCCATCTAGGGATCACATATCATGCCTTAACAATTACTTAATTAGGTTATACAACCACCCTGGAACTGAATGACCTGAACATCAATTAAGGAGCTTTTAGGCAAGATACCACTTCATCTGTCGATATTAAAATCCTCATCATTAAGGACTTAAAAGCAACATTTTACTCCAGCTGCTGTTTATTAGTGTTTATTATGGAAAATAAGTGACCTATTTGTTAATTAATCTGAATGATAAATGTTTATATTATCTGCTGAGACCAAATTTACAGAATAATTCCACTTAAAACATTGGATTTTTTAACATTTTTTCTTAAAGGTATGGTGGAGGATGTTCTTTTTCCAGGTGGAACATCAAAATAAGTGGTCCTCCTAATTTTCATTTTATGTAAGGTCGTCCTTTGCGAGTCTATTTCTCCTCGTGCACACTCTGTTTAAAAGTTGCTGTTTGCATCACACATACAAGCTTACTTTCTAAAAGAAGATTAGCAGTTTTTCCACTGTCCCATGCTATGAAAATGGGGACGAGCACGTAGGACGGCCTTACGTAAACATCACCAGAATGATTGACAATTAGGAGGACCACTTATTTTGATGTTCCACCACTCTCAAACACGTTTAATAGGCGTTCCCTCTCAGAGTTGTGCGTGTACTTTTTATTTTTTAAGTGGAGAGGGCGGGTCTTTTCAAAAATTCTCAAAAATCCTCCACCATACCTTTAAATAATTAAAAAACTTAATTAGAAATATTTCATTTTGTATCCGTACTGCCATAAAATTAAATGTTTGAGCCTTTATTTTGTTTTGCAAACACAAGTCTTTCCTTTTGCAAATGTCTCTTTTAAAATAATGTTATTTAATGTGTGCATTTCAGAAGGATTTTCATGATAATTTCTGTTACCTATTATCTTGACAGAAAAATGCCATACCAACGGTAGAGTTTCTTTCCCTTTTAAAGAAAAAGCAATAAATAAATGATAAAATTAGCATTCATATTGAGAGCAACACAAACTTACAAATTGCTAACTTTAAAGCAGGACCCTTAATAATACTTTAACCAGGACATAAAACAGTAATAAAACCTTTTTCCTCTATTGCTCAACATAACGTAACCTGATCTACTATGAATACCATCGGAATTGCATTACAATGGATTGTTCCACCAGCTGCTTTCCTGTAATGCACTTTTAATATTCTCATCATGGCTGTTAGAAAACCAATGGGGAACAGAGATGCAGCAGCTGAGATATTAATGGTTTTTACTGATCTATTTTGCGGCAGAGGGATGGAGATTAAACTATGAAAATGATATCATAACACCACATGGGTAGTGAAGAATTGTCTCCAGAGAGCCGCCGTATTATATAGTATCTGCGAGTAAATCTTTGCAGACAGGAAACATAATAACAGACCAGGAACAATAATTCCTTACAAAACATGCAGATAAAAGTTTAATGAGGTGGACTTTTATGTAGTCAGTTCTTTCACGTAAAGCTAATTTTTTCCACAGAAAGGTGGAGTGGATCGAATGTGTCAAATTAAGGTAAAAAGAATGAAAAAAGCTTAAATTCAAACAAGTAGATATATTTTACATTTCGTTCAACTGAAGATGTAGACACAGGTTGCATTCCTTGATCAGACATTCTTAGGGAGCCGAAAATGGCATAAGGACGAAGCAAAAACTCACAAATTCAATGAAATTCAGAATAAAATAATATGCTCAAACCTTTTACCTACTTTTACTGAATGATATTCTGAAAAATATAAATGTAGAGACAAATAGTATGCTTAGGGGATGTAAAATTAAACAAAAAATGATTAAATTAATAAATAAATGATTACATGAATATTTTTTAGGCTCCATTTACATTAGATTGCCTTATTTACCCTTATTTGAATTTTTTCTAAAACAATTTCTTTTTTCTTTTTTTGCCAATATATGCATTAAGTCTGGATCGTCTTGGTTGTTGCCATGAGGTTCCACTTGGTAATTTTTTATGAAACTTGTGTTTAAAGGGGTTTTGAGAAGAAAAAAAAACATATGCAATGGAGATGGAAAGAGAGGTGAGAATAGAAGAGGATATAAGAATTAACTCAACTCAAACTTTATTTATAAAGCACATTTAAAACAACCGGGGTTGACCAAAGTGCTGTACAGGAATCACAGTTAAGGAACATAAGATAAAAGCTAAGGCTAAAATATATAAACACATAAAAATAGAATAAGATAAATGTTTCAATTAAAATACATTTTAGAATAAAATAAAATTTAAAATAAAATTTTGCCAAATGTCCACTTAGACATGATTAAAAGCCAGGGAGAAGAAATGTGATTTTAAAGAAGATTTAAAAACCTCAAAGGAGCCTGCTGATCTAACATGCCAAGGCAAGTTATTCCATAGCCTCGGTGCCATAAAGGCACGATCACCTTTAGTTTTTAGTCTGGTTTTAGGCATCGTCAGTAGCAGCTGATTAGAGGATCTCAGTGTTCTGGCCGGGGCAGGAATTTGGAGAAGCTCAGTCATTAAGGTGGAAGAGAAAAAGAGAGAGAAAAGATTAAAAAGGGGGGGGGGGGAAACAGAATTATACAGAATAGCTCCTAGAATCCTGCTTCCACACCTGCAAGAAACAAGAAAAAATAGAACAATAAAGCAACACACTAAAGAAAACAAAGAGGACTATCCCACAGACCGCAGCGAATACATTTATACAAACATCAGAAGCAACCTTTGAAGATTACACAATTTTTTCAGAGCTCTATATAGTTTAAGCCGCAGCATGGTGTGTGCACATGCATTAGTGTACATGAATATATGTAAGGCTTGTAAGACTCCTTCAACAGGGAGATATGCTCAATAGCAGGTGGTTTGAAGGGCCCCAGACTCACCCCAACTAGCCTGGAGGACCTACCATTCAGCCAAAAACAACAGGAAAAAATATAAAATCAAAGAATTTAGCAGAGGCTACAGGAAACTGCTCACCAGAATGGAGAGGGTTCGATTGGCTCTCACTTTTAACAGTTCAACCAGAGGAAAAGTCCTTAACCATTTTAGGATCCTTGAAGAGGGTAAAAACAAGTGACTGTTTCCTCTGCAGATCTCAGAGCAGCGGTGACATCACTGCAGGCTTGGATGACTCGAAGAGCGAGTTCAGTGATGGTAAAATCAAACGGAACATAAGAATGTAGTCACTTGATTAGAAGAGAATTCTCTGTTTCAGTATTCATGGTAGAGAAAGATCTCTTTGGTCCAGGGACAGAAAAAAAAGAACAGAACAGAGTCATACAGAGGGATACAAGGGAAAGGAGAGAATCCAGAATCTTGACAAAAAAACAGGGTCATAACTGTGGGGGCAGAATCTTACATGTCATAGGAGAAGGCAAGAGATGTTGGTCAGGAGGCAGCAACATCATTAATGTCCAGGAAACTCTATGAGGTCTGGTATTGGCAAGTAAAGGTGAGGAACTCATGGGGCACAAACAGGTGATTTGGCAGAGAAAGAAATCAGGACAAGGCTTTTAAATAATCTGGGCTTGTCAATTAGGTTGGTGCTTCTTCAACTAGTTTGGTGCATCTGTAACTCAAGGTATTTATTCAAGTATTGGACCAGATGTTTGGTTGGTTGAATGCCAACCAAAAATCTGACCACCATTCCCCCTAGATGAGATACAGTCTCCCACAGCACCAGGCATGTCTTCCCCGCAATGCCCCCAGTTAACCACATTGTTGAACCCGGCACCCACAGCCAAGGCAGGCCAAGCCAACATGGCTTCTCAGCCATGTGAGCGTAAGGTTTTCAGACACCCTAATGACCCACTCACCTGACTGGGTGCAAGTCCCATGCTAAGACAGGGAGGCCAAGGGGCAGAAGCGCAGGCAGCCAGGCAGACCATCACCACAAGCTGAGAGGGATTAAAAGACGCTCATCTTACACCCCAAACTGCAGCCAGACAAGCCCCCATAAAGGAAAGTCTACGCAACCCATTGCATTAGGGTGCATACCCTTACTTTAAAGATTGCTGATTTTTTTTTTTTTTTTTTTTGTATATGCATTAAGTCTTCTTTGGTAGGAGTCCTTCAGGATCCTTCATCCTCTTGTTTCAGTGACTAAACAGATGTGAAACATTTAGTTCTGTATAGAAATTAAAGTAGGTTGTTTTCATGTGTAGAAACACAACAATGTACTCGATAGAAGTGGTGCTTTAAGTTTTGCTTCTAGCCTAAGCAGCTTCAAATGCATAGTTGTTTTATTTTTTGCCATGTTGTACAATGTTCAATCAAAAATTGTATACTTCTTCAGATCAATACATTTTTATTTTAAGATCTATTGACAGATATGCAAACTTTGGCAAGAGCTAAAGGATGAAAAAGAACATTTCTGAGAAAATCCTACAAGGACTTCTGAACGTTCTGAAGTTTCTGTTTAATAAAATTTACTTTGATTGTTTCGAAAGAAACAATCGAAAGAGTAGCTTTAACAAAATGTAAGGTTTTGTTCTTTTTTCCACATACAAGTTTATAATTGGAGCTATATAAAATAAATGATTTAGGCTGTATAATGATTCATAATTTGTCTTAGATTTCCACATCACTAAAACCTGAAATGAGCTATACTTTGTCTTTACTTTGTACAGATTAAGCTATAGATACGAGTAACAATCAAAGGTCAAACACCAAACAATCAGTTTTTATCTTTTCAAAAAGACAACCAAGGTTTTCAACAATGTGGGATTCTAGTTTTATGATTGTTCAACTACAGAAAAGTAAATTAAAACCAGGATTTCTATGTTTCTGTAAACTGTAATTTTGTGACATATAAACCCTAGAGTTGCTTTAAAAACATGTTGTACAAATAATAGGTTTTAAAGCAACTCTGGGTTTT